TCGAACCATTTAGTCAACTAAACTCCAATATCATATTAAAAAATAATTTTAATTCAAAAATTTAAACTGTTAAATGATACCGTAAAATATGATTTATATTATTTTCTAACATTAAATTTAAAAAATATATAATGGATGTTTTTTTGAATTAAAATTGTAAAAATGGCATCACTTAAAGGTTTCTGGTTTTAGGTTGCGATCTAACAGGGGTTTCCAGCGGTGGGATTTGATTTTGGTAATTTCAGATAAAACTGCAGTCTACTATTGGCATTTTATGTCTTCTATTCACCATTATCAATGAGATCGATTTTCAAAATATTGCTAATAAGCATGGTTAAAAAAAAAAAAAAAATGCTAGTAACAAGTATCACAGAATGAAGAGGCAATACAGCCCATCGTCCAAGGAATTTTGAATTTGGGCATCATGGGCTATTTTTAAGGACAAACCTTGGGACACCATTTTTTCATGGCCCATTGTATCTTGGAAAAACTTTATTTCGGCCTAGGTAATTAGTAAGAGCACAATTCATTATGCAGTTACTTTTTCGTTGAAGAATTTTTTTTTACCTACCAGTGTAAAGTAAAAATTGAGTACCTCTTCATGATTACAAACAACAAAAAAAAAAGGTAGCCCCTAGTTTACTGATCTAATTCTCATTAACCAAAAAAAAGACATGTCAAATAATAATTAAAAAGAGCATTATGTCGCTTTAGTTCCCCACCTGCAGAAGCCAAACCCCTCACGAAAAGATTGATTACTCAGAATACATATAATTATGGTAATGGACCCAAGCATATCAGGACATATGCCAATCTTGTCAAATTCTTAATTAGGTAAAGTGTGATGCTAAACGTCAAGCTTTCTGCAGTTAACTTGACAAATCTTGAAATATAATAAATTGATGGACACACATCAGATTCCAGGTATCATAAACATCTATATGGGTCCATACCATGGCGTACAAGCCGTTTGTTCTACAAATTTACATTTTGTATTCAGAAAATTGGACTTGGTTGCAGAACTTCATTTTCTTGTGAACGTTAAATGTATGATAAACATCTGCTATAATCTCCAATAAATCGTTGTTGCTATATATGGCATTAGCAAATGAAGAAATACACGTGGGCTCTTGTTGGAATCCATATTAGAATCTTCCAAGTTGAATCACAAACTTGCTAACAGCGTACAAGCTACAATCACCCTTGATTTCCATGTTGTGCAATGTACAAATTGATCTGAAAACACAGAAAATAAGAGGAAAAACTGATGCTGGAATAAACTACGGAAATTATCTTAAAACATTGTGTTTTAACATCAAAATACTTCGTTTTCTCATCTTTCCCAATTTACATTTTGCAGCCTATATTTCACACACGCACACATATATTCACTACAGATCATGTGTTTTTAACCCTATATGATTAGGCATGTAAATCCAAACCTACCTAATTAAGCGGCCCCAACTAATCGTAGTCCTAAATGATAAAGCAATACTTAACTTGAGCAACTAATATAAACTTTACGCACTCCAAAATTATTAAAAGCTAACAATATTATTACCAAATCACTTTGTAGAAGTTCTATCGTGCTAAAAATTAAACTTCTACGACACTATGGTTTTTTATTCTTTTGTTTCATGTACAAGTAAAATGAGACAAGGCTTTCCAAAAAGCATGACATTCACTTCTTCACTTTATTAAACATGAATGGTTATATAATTATCATTTGAAGAAAAATGGTTGGCCGAATTCGCAATAATGCCATTTCAATTTCTTATCAATTTTTTGTTATTTCTTTCATTGAACATCGGGACAACCTTGTTTTTGGAATGGTTTTTTAGGTTTGGAAGTTTTTTTTAATGCTTGTCGGGAAACCTATTTGTTATGATACTTTTTTTTATTGTATTCCAAAATTCAACCCTTATTCCCTCCTTTTGTCCTGTATAGTTCACTTCTATTTTGATGTCTCGTTTCAATTTTCATGTCTTCGTCTTCTTTAATTAAAAGCTGTGTGTAAATTTTGAATTATTCTTAATTCACTTCAATATGCTTTTCTTGGAGTATAAGCGAAACCAATTTGTCTCTAGGAATTCCCTATGGTTTGAGAATTCGTTATCACACTCACATTCTAATAGGCGTGTTTTGCGTTAGTTTATCCAAACACATTTTTTAAAATATAAAACATCACATACTAGATTCATTCTAAGATGCTATCTACACATTATACATTGAAGACTTAAAAAAAAATGATTAATTCATTAAACACAAGAAATAACTAGTGTAATGCTTATTCAAATATTAAAAATATCATAGCAATACTCAAGATGATTAGTTTAAACAAAGAGAGCTTTAATCGTTTAAATAAACGGTTTAAGATTCGAAACTTTGTATAAGCAAAATACTCTTCGGATAATTATGTCGACTTTATATGCTCGACAGAATATTGAGAGATTAATCTAAGTTTTCGAATCTGAAATACTTTAGAGAAAAATAAAAATGCCAGAGCAATCTTTCAAATTCTGAGTTCATGACTTCATTCTATATTTTGCTTTGGATTGGAAATCGCAACTTTAAGTACTCCATGAAAAAGTAGGTTCCAAATGTTTGTTGAATGAAGTCAAGGTCTAAATGAAGTAATCCTAAAGAAAATTGTTTCTTTCTAGGATCTGATTTGCTCTCGTACAAATTAATTATGTAAGTTGCTTTCAAGATTCGTATGAATTGCTTTCCATGAGCCCTTCCTTTACGAGCTATGAAATGAAAATTCAAATTTCGACAACCCCTTTTCTTGACAAATTTTTCTTAAATAATCAGTCATTGCTTTCGGTGAAAAGGAAAATTAAGAATACAATTCATTCGCATGGGTTTGAAATCCTGCTAGCTAGTTACATACTAATGAATATATCAGCTCTTTAGGATATACTGTACCAAAAAATAAAACTCTTTAGGATATAATATGCAAGTGTATATATATTTGGAAATGAGCAAACAATCCTGTATAAACAATTTGCGTTATAATTTGAAAGAAACATCAATTTTTACATACCAACTACTTTTGAAAAGTATTTGGAAATTTTTACATATCAACTACTTTTGAAAAGTATTTGGCAAGAAAAAGAAAAAAAAACACGCAATTAGTCATTTTATAACACATATCCAACTATCATGCACATATCTACAAGCCTACAAGATATTGCTACATTACTCTAACATGACCCTAAATTACTTGTTTGGCACCCTTATAGACAATCTAGCTGTGTCCGTGCGAGATATACCATTCAAATTATACACTATTAAACTAATGGAATATCTATCTAGGTACAATAGATTATCAATATGTGATATGAATGAATTTCATATTCTTTTTTATAAAATAAAAATAAAAATAACATTATCATCCTTTCTAGATAATGTTTTTGACCTTTCTTCTAAAAAATATGTTGTCATGTCCATATAGGAAAGACTTCATCATCATTCTCATATAATAATGTATTACCATCACCTAAGACATTATTCCACAGTCATTGTCTTTGGTAAAGAATATTATGAAATGATTTTTTTTATTACAAGTAATTTTGGATTAGTTTATTGTTAATGGACTCTTAACTTTTATTTTAAATGATATTAAAAATATATATTTTCTTGCTACTAATTTTAAAATTTTGACCAAAAAGAAACAAGAAGAAGCAAATCTTGTTGTCTATCAGAACAATTCAACAGGGTTATTAAAGAATGATAGGAGTTGATGCTTATTTATTGGCCACCAATACTAATCAACCCCAAACAGTGATTAGCCAACTAAAAACCAATAGCAATTTTAACTTATTAACATTAAAAAAAATAAAATAAAATGATGAGTTATTATTCAGTGTATTATTTGAAATATTGTTTATACAAATTTATTTGTACTATTCACAAAAACTCATATGCATTATCCCTTTCATTATACAATGATATTTTTATAGTTTTCAAACATTTTAAAGATATTCATTATAAAAGTTATCGTGACATTACTTTTTGAGATTTTTTTAATATTATTTTTTTAATTCGTAAATATTTTTTATTTAATTTTGATCACTTTGATCCTTTCTTTTTTCTTAGATTTTTTTTAATTAAAAAAATTTAATGAAAAAAATATTTAGAAAAAATAATTTACAAAATAATTTTTAGTTAAAAATTCATTGATTTTGATATTTTTTATATTATTATAAATTTTTTAGTTTGTGGATAGAGATAAATAAATAATATCTTTAATAAAAACTTTATGAAAAATATAAAAAATAATAAATTTTAATTCAAAATTTTAATTAAAATCTATAAAATTAAATAATTTTTATTTAATTTTGATTTAATATATTTTAACATATACATAATATAATATAATACAAAATATTAAATTAAAATAAATTTTAAAAAATAAATTCATCAGTTTTATCCTGATAGCTCGGATAAAAAAATATTAGTTATTACTGCACAAAAACTCCGTATCTGGCTGCTAACAATCCAACCGTCAATAGAAGAATTGAATGGCTGAGATGAGTCGAAGACTAAGATTTTAAGACAAGAAAAAGACCGTTTCAAAGAGGAGAAGGCTCAGTTAGCCAAAAATGTACTGTTTTATGGAATCTATCACTCAATCTTGCCCGAACAAATATCTGACTACTGCCCATACTCCCCCTCTCTCACTGACACGGTCAGCTTCCGGGCAACTCCAAACTCCAATACAAAGACTTTCTCTCTCTATAAAAAATACAATAATAATGCTATTCGTACAACTATTCTCACTCTCTCTCTAGACTTACTTAAAGATTCATACTTTTGTTTGCCAATAACTAACAAGCAAAACTGAGATAGAGAGGGGAGAGAGAGAGAGCGCGCCACCTCTCGTCGGAGAAGGTGGCATTTAAGGCCTGGTGCAGCGCCTCTCCGGTAAGCGGAGGGTGAAGTGCGCGCCTTTTTATATAGAAAGTGAGTTGGTTTTTGAAATATATATACATATCATGGGTCAGGGACTAAGTTGCACAGCGAGTCAAGAGCATGGTTTCTTCACAGCTGTGCAGTTTGGTGACTTTGATACTGTAAATGCTATGCTTGAGAGAGACCCATCTCTTCTTCATCAAACTGCATATGATCGCCAGTATCCGCTTCATATTGCTGCTGCCAATGGCCAGATCGAGGTCCCTTTTATTGCTTTTCTTTTTAAGCATTAATTTTGGTGTTTTTATACTGGTTACCAGTCTTCTGGGTATTTTTTTTTTAATTTGGGGTCTGAACTTTTAACTTTTTGGTGAGATTCTTTGCGTTTTGGTGAATGCGGATAACAATGGATTTTGCGTCATCTTTTGTAGATTCTATCAATGCTTTTGGAGCGATCCGTGGATCCTGATATGGTGAATCGTCACAAGCAGGTAATATTTTTGTAATCTTGTGTGAATTGGAATTATCTTTGATCTTGTGGTATAGCTAGCTCGTTTTACTTTATAGTGATTTTGATTTGTTGATTGTGGATGGTGATAGACTCCTCTTATGTTGGCTGCAATGCATGGCAAAATCTCATGTTTGAAGAAGCTCATCGAAGCTGGAGCAAATGTATGTTAAAGTTCAAAATTTCTGTCTCCTTTTCATTTTAGAGGTTATGGCTCTTCCTTATCTGAATTGTGAATTAGAATGCTGATGCGGTTATCTGTTTGATTTATAATAGATTTTGAAGTTTGATTCACTTAATGGAAGAACTTGCTTGCACTATGCTGCTTATTATGGCCATTCTGATTGCCTTCAAGCTATTCTTTCTGCTGCTCAATGCAGCCCTGTTGCCTTTTCTTGGTAACTATATGTTTCATTTGAAGATTGATTTCATTTTCTATTTTTCTTCGTGTTTCTTTTTGATGATTTAGCCTTTTAGTTTTTATGTTAATAACTTCTGTGGGAATTGAAATCTAGGGGATATGCACGTTTTGTCAATATCAGAGATGGTAGAGGAGCAACACCATTGCATTTAGCCGCCCGTCAAAGACGGCCTGGATGTGTACATATCTTGTTAGACAATGGTGCTCTTGTTTGTGCTTCAACAGGCGGATATGGGTAATAATTATTTTGATTTTCTCACTTATTTCTTTGCCTTTGATGTGATTTGTTGTTTTAATTTTTGCTGATGTACTGCTTGCAGTTCCCCGGGAGCACTCCTCTTCATTTGGCAGCCAGAGGGGGATCTCTTGATTGTATCCGTGAATTGCTGGCGTGGGGTGCAGATCGTCTTCAAAGAGATGCATCTGGGTATTATTTGATTCCATCTGTTGTTAATTTAGAAGCTATAACACAATAATAATAGAGGCTAACAAAGCATATAATTTCTTGTTCTTTAATGTATTTTTGGAAAGTGTTTTGCAACGACGTCAAATAGGCACAAAGCATTGGGGACCTTGATTTTATAACAGAAGTTCCTTCATTGTCAATTAAGAGCTGGGACAGTCATCATCTCTCTTGGTCTCAAATCTTTTTTATAGCTTCAAAGTTTCCTTATTTTTATATGGTCATCCAAATGCAGGAGAATACCCTATGTCGTTGCTTTGAAGCACAAAAATGGAACATGTGCAGCCCTTCTTAATCCTTCGTCAGCAGAGCCTCTTGTCTGGCCATCACCTTTGAAGTTCATCAGTGAGCTGAATCAAGAGGCAAAAGCTCTGCTAGAGCATGCCTTGATGGAGGCCAACAAAGAGAGGGAAAAGAACATCTTGAAGGGAACTGCGTACTCACTTCCATCTCCATCACATTCTGATGATGGAACAGATGATAGCACATCTGAGGTAATTTTTCATGCTTATCTGTATGCAAGGGATCATGTTTATTTTTTTATTTTTATAATCTATGGGAAACAAATGTAAACATACGAGATGCATGAGTTATGTTTTTGTTGAGAGCTGGAAAATTTCACACAAAATGGATGAGCTCAGCTAGTGTTTCAAAACTAAAACTAGTTTTAAAAGCTTGAACTTCAAAAGTCTCGAGTTTTCATGTGAACTCATGTTTTAGTTTCTGAACAATTTAAGACCCAAATAACATCGTTTCCTGGAAACTTAATCCCATCTCTTAATGATTCCCAAAAGTTGCTAATCGGTGATGTGCTCAAAACTGAATAATAAATGTGACAGCTCATTTGCCCTTTTGCCATAGATCATGATATACAATTTATGCTCAAGTACGGATGTGAATAGGGTTCTGATAGTTGATTCTTCAGCTGAGATCGGAGTTTTACATTCTTAAATCTAATTAGACAAAGCAAAACACGTAAAAAAATGTGGTGTCTTGCTGAGCTTAAAACTTGCTCTTGAATTTGAGGCTGTTAAAGTATTTCCTGTTTTTTCAGCTGCCAAATGCCTCTTCTTCTTTTCCCCCTTTTTCTGCAATTTCTTTATTAAGACCTATGTTGGCCAAACTACTTGGAAGCAGGGTAGCAGATAGCTTGACATTATGGGACTAACGTGTCTATTTTGTCAAATACATAATGCAGGGAAGTGACACAGAGTTGTGCTGCATATGCTTTGAGCAGGTTTGTACAATTGAAGTCCAAGACTGTGGCCATCAGATGTGTGCACAATGCACACTAGCCCTCTGCTGCCATAACAAACCCAACCCTACAACCGCATGCCTTACCCCTCCAGTTTGCCCATTCTGTCGAAGCACCATTGGCCGCCTAGTGGTTGCTAAAATCAAGAATTGCAATGATGCTGATCAGGACATTGGGGACATTGGTGGTTCTCCAAAGCTGAGAAAGTCTAGGAGGTCACGGAACTTCAGCGAGGGAAGCAGCAGCTTCAAGGGTATATCAGCAACATTTGGAAAAATGGGTGGCCGCGGCTCAGGAAGGATAGCTGCGGAAAATGACTGGATGGATAAGCCTTGATGATACCTGGTAGCATTTGGTAATCAAAGATTCCATTTGGCAATTAAGGATTCCTTGGGATCCAAAACAAGGGCAAACATATCAAGGAATCGGTGTCTGTGCTGGCCCCAATTGGGGTATATATATAGTGATAGATGGCTCGATTGACTATGTAGACGTGAAAAATAAGCAAAGTCGTGAGTTTCAGATTTGGATTGGTAAGTTTGGTAATATGGTTGCCGTGGGTCATATTGTTGTAATCTTTGTTTACTTGAGATTGAAGTAGCATTCGTTATTATTTTGAGGGTCTGTCTGATAGATATCTGGATTGGTAAAAGGAAGATTCTTTTCTTCTTGGAAAGTAAAAACTCCATATTCTTGAATCACTAGTACTACTTAACACTACATTTTATCAACAGAAGTCCAAGTAGAGCCTCCATAATGTGGCACTGTAAACCAGACAAATGTCTAAGAAAGCACTGTGAACTAGGATGGATAAATGGCAGCAGTGATAAAAAAATGCATGTTGGCTTGGTGGCGCTTGTTGGCTATGTGAATCTGTGATAATGTCTCCGTTGGTCAAACAATATTGGCAAGAGAAAACTCCAATAATATAATGACAATGCTACAAATCTCAATGAAGTCAGGGTGGTGGGGCAAAAGTCGAGGGCCCCAATGAAGTAGATCTAACACGAGCATAGACACCTGGATACAATCCTGGTGCCTGAGTGTAAGAAAAGACGTATGAAACGCAGGGCACACCTAACTTGCTCACAGGGACCCATAATTGGCTGGCCTCTGATTGCTATTTTTTTATTTTTTATATTCTACTGCTTTTGGGGTACATGATGACCCTGACTGGGGGTGTGGTACAGAGGAGTATTTGGTAAGTAAAAACATTTCAAATTTCAGAAAGTTTCAAATGTGTATTAGACTGCTTGAAAACTTTAAGTATAAAAAAATAATAATAATAATAAATAAATAAATAAATAAATATATATATATATATATATATATATATATATATATATATATTATTTATTTTATTATTATTATTTTTTTTGTGAATAAGGAGAAATTGAGATGTCAAAGGACTTTGTTAATGTGAACTTTTTTTTAAAAAAAAATACCCTTATTTTTTTATGTTAAGTTGTCTAATATATCTTCTTCTTCTTCTTCTTCTTCTTCTTTTCCCTAATGATTACGTAAAAATACCCTTATTTTTTTATATTAAGTTGTCTAATATATCTTATTCTTCTACTTTTTTCCCTAATGATTACGTAAATATTTTAAGAGACTAGTATGTGTACACTCTAGAATATAAATTTAAACAATCAATATGTGTTTCTATAATTTTAATTTAGTACTAAGATAATTTATATGTTATGTACGTTGCGTAATTTGCTGGTATATATATATATATATATATATATATATATATATATATATATATATATATATATATATATATAATTTTATTTGATAATTATTATTTTATAAAATTAAATTTCTTGTTGATTTATATCTATATATTAGTGTTAAACACGAATTTATACAAGTGTTTTATTAAAAAAAGTATTTATCTTATTATCAAATCAGATATTTTAAATTTTAAGAATAAAATGATAAATTGATTTGAATTCTCATGAATAAACCAAAGGTAGTAAAAACACATTATTAAAAATTTTCATTGAAAAAATTTTCATTTTCAATGAAGTAAATATATTTCGAACAATCACATTCCAGCTATCATATTTCAAGAAAACATTTAAAAATCTGCATATTAAACTCCACGTCAAGCCCTATACAACCAACGAAGTACCTAATAGTATCGAATTAATTCTATTTCTATGTGACGTGATGCATGTGTATGGCCAGCGTAAGTGTCTTCTTCTCATCTTTTACTCCCCTGACGTAAACACGCTATTTGACTTGCTTTCTGGGTCCCTAAAGCTTTGTTTTCCAGGGTCCCAAAACTTTTGGGGGGTTGATGGAATGGGTAACTAACTCTAAATTTTAGTCTGGATGTGGCCTAAGTACGTGGAGGAGAAACATGCCCATTTAAGTTTGCTGGTCGACACAACCACATCTCTTCTTCATCCTCCAAAATCGCAAATAGTTAATGGGAGTCGTTACAAAATAGGCGTCGGCAAACGTCCATGCTTATAACATTTGTTGAATTTGATTTTAATAATATTCCTTTACTATTTCATTCAAATTTTGTGATTCAACCGGCAACAACATTGTGTCTAGCTTACAAACTTCAAAAAAAAAACAACCTGTTTTACCCGCCAAATGTTGTGTCTTTCTTCTCATTATTCGCACCGAACACGCAATACCTACGTTGGTTCTTTTCAAGTTTAACATGTGTAATAGGATGTTCTTCTTTAATCAAAGGATTTGATATCAATCAGTCAAAAATATCCACTAATATCTGTCTTATTACTAACAAATATTATTTTATGACCTTTGAGCAAAATATCCGACAGAGGGACATTTTTCTTCAGGGCCCTATTTGATTAATAAAATATAGAGTAAATTGTAGACCGAAATATTCCGATCAAAGTAGCTGAAAGTTGTTTTCACATGGTTATGGGAACGTGTTTATTTAAGCACAATAAGAAAAAAATAATTAGCCGCCAATCACCGGTGGAATTCACAATGAGCAGAAATATCAGCGGTTAGAAAAGTCCCGGCAGGAAGCCATCAAGAATCAGCCAATCAATCGCAAAATAACAATTTCCAGTATAGAAATTAAGTCCTTCGTCATGACCATGCTTTTGGTAGGTAGTCTTGATTAAATTCTTTTGGGTCAACAATGACAGGGAGCCTCACTCCAATACAGCCTAACACGATGGATACAATTTTAAATCCATCGGGTTCAACTTAAGTTCATGGTTTACCCAAAGGAACTAGTCTACCAGACGACCCCAGAATCTTCAAATGACGACAATTCTATGTAAGACAGTCGCCTTTTCAGAGGAGTTTAGGAATTTTTCTATCCTAAAGCATTCTGAACGGAGATAGAAAGGTCTTGCTTTCTTCCGCGGGTGATAGAAAAGACAAAGCATTTAATGCAAATCTTCTGATAATAATATCAATCAAATTACCTCTCGTCATAATTGCACTAATCTCACTTGTAAGTCATGTATAATAATAACAAAGCACCAACACATCTCTTCATCCACTAACTCCAAAAGAGGACACTTGTATTCATATAAAAGTCAAAATCACCACAAAGTAATAAGTTATGTTAAATACTCAAAACCCATGTTTTATATCCGACGCATTTTCCTCCCTTATCTAAATTACACATAAACAATTAAATATTAAAAAAATATATTAGGACCAATTCGTCATATTTTGACTTAATTTAAGTATCAAAAGGTCTTTTATCCGATCAGAAAAACTTATTCTATAAATACACGTGAAAAAAATATTCATCATTCTCTAAGATTATCATATCACTATCATCATTTGTATGTGTTATGTTTCTTAATTTTATTGAACGAATAGATCCACAACTTATCAATAATAGAATATCATACCTAAAAATGAAATAAGGATTCGTAATGAAGGAGAATAAAAATAAAATTATTATTTACTAGGTATTATTGTACAAATAGCATTATTTAAATGATAATTTCATATACAATTATTCTATAAAAAAAATTAATCTTGAGTAAATATATCATGGAATAATGAAAAATTTTCAAAAATTAGGTGGAGCACATGTCTAGAAAAGGAAAAAAAAGAAAAAAAAAGAAGGCAAATTCAAAATCCCTGAACTATCAAAAACTTTATGCATTTTTTGAAAAAATTAAGGGGAGTTATTGTCCCTTTTTCTTACATGTAGCTACACCCATGATTATACCCCTAGAGTTCGTTATTGATAATTTTTTTAAGAAAAAGTAGCTGGTCAAACTGCTCCTTATCTTCTAATCCCTAAAGTTTCTATTTTTTGTTATATTACTTTCATGTGGTATTGTTTTTATTTTTTATGCAAAATAAGAGAAAATAAAAAAATAAATAGTAAATAAATGAGTTTATTTTAAGCATCTTATCATTATGATCTTTGTATTTATTATTAGATTCCACTCATGTACATATATGGAGAGTTGTTTAATAATAGAGATTGTTTATCTTAAACTTTAGCTACCATTATCATGAATTTTATTGTCTCGGTAATCAATATAAATTTGGTATATATATAATATAAAATACAATGAAGATTTATTTTATTCCGCAATTCTTCAATAAATCTCAAACTTTTTTATATGAAATACGGCGATCACATCACATCATCATTTCTGAAAGATCCCACCTCATACATATTGAAATTTATAATTTATAATTTATAATTTTTTTTAATGATAGTTACAATAGTATATGAAAATATAAATATATCACCAATTGACAAACTATAGTAGGTGAGATTTAAATTTTTCATTTTATGAATCAACGTTTTATATTGAGAATTTACTTATTGCTGCATGTGAGATTATACGTGGTGTGTGATGTACATTATCAATTTGATATCATTCTTGTATATAATTTTTTTTATTATATTTTTCATTTAATTTGTTCTTGAATTATTTAAAAAGAAATATTGTTCGGTAATGGAAATATTCGCACAGGCAGCATAAAAATGTTCAAAGAAGTGCGAATATATCAAACAAGTTTCCTCTAGTTTTTTTTTTTTTTTTTTTTTTTTTTTTTTAAGAGTGTGTATGTTATTCAACACTCTCGTGAGGAATATTGTGTCCACGCTATATCGTTTTTCTATCAGGAAAAATCACTATTGTATCTATATTGAAGTAGATTTTTTTTTTTTTTTAAAAAAAAGACAAGTAGCTGCAATAATATATATCATGAATTGGAGACTATAGTAAATAAGATTCAGATTCTCAATGTTATAGATAAACGGTTTACGTTAAAGTAATTTATCCCGACATTTGTTCGTTTTGTTATGCATGGTTTCTTTGTTATCCCGTCTCTTTTCTTGGCATTTATGTACATGCCCCGTAATCCAAGAGCATTAGACAACAATCTCCTTGAAATTCTCAATACTGCCTTGTACTCACGCAGATTGGGCTGGCGCTGAGAAGAAGGCCTGCTGTATCATCTCTCTGTCTTTTCTTTCTTAAACACAGGAAAACATTTCAAAGCCAGTAAATAGTGTAAATTCGGAACAAACAAATTATCATTAAAAGCTCAAAACCAAATACTCCTCTTAATAGGACTATCACTTCGGAGAAAAAAAGATATAAAAAGGCTTAGATTCATCCGTTTCTTGGTTGGCCTTGGTAAAATTAACACCTTACACAAGGTCTTAGATTGCATTAATGTTGGCATAAATATGATGGTCAAGAGGAGATTGCCATGTTCATAACCTCTCGAAATCTCTGAATTTGTTTTGCCCCACCAGGCAAAAATTATTCGACTATCGAGAGTGCGGCAGTTATATATATATATATATATATATATATATAGGAGTGTATAGCCTAGATATTGGTTATAGTATATACAAGCTGAGTTATTATTTTACAAATAAAGATAAATACAAGCCTCGCTAACATTCCCATCTACCTAATTCTTCTAGGCCAACTTATATGTCAGAGTAACATACAACCACAGTAGACTGGATGTGCTGTTACTCCCCCATTCATGACCTTATACATGGCATGGCTTGCACTTGTCGCTTTAATACTAACCTTGACACGCAAAGACAATCGCATTGCGGCTAGCATTGGCTAGCAGCAGAAATCAAGCTAAATATGTCAATGAAAAAAAAAAAAAAACTGTGCATTAGGATTTGACTAGGAGATATCGAGTGCATGCATAGGCATGAAATAGACTCCTTTTCTCCTGAAGAAACCAATAAAAATTATAAGCTCATTTCTAGTTTTCTGCGCAGGACATGAAACTCAATCATCAATAGAAGAGAGCAGAAGAAGAATTTTTTTTTCTTTTTTTGTGTGTAGAAGGTGATTCAGAGAGAGGGCTGTCCACACATGCATGAAAATAGAACTGGTACTGCATATTCACCACAGTGCTCTGATTCTTCATTTCCTCTCCTTTCAGCTCCGGCACCGCTGCTTTGATTTAGTCTAGGAGGAGCAACATGGCCATTAACAAATAGTGAGTTGGGTTCTGTAACAGGCTGAGCAAGTTCCAGCTCATCATGAGGTCCATAAATAATTGGGCCGCGATTCCTTCTACATTCATTAGCTGCTCTCTCCACAGCAAGAAAATGGCCAAGAGATGGAGTATTGTTCACAATTTGGGCATCAGTAGTGTCTCTTGAACATAAAGAGAAAATCCATGTTTTGGATTTGCAGCTCTTCTTGTCTTCTACTACTTCAACTTTCCTTGCCCTTGTTGATTTTCTAGAGTGCTCTAGTATGTTAGAAACACCTATAAGGCTCCCCAGTGTAATGCTCTTGTCATGGAAGAAAGACCCTGTAGACTGAAATCATTCATAATATAAATAAGCTATAATAATTCTAGATTGACTGGTCATTCAGTTTATCTATTTACACAACCAAATCAAAAGATTAAAAAAAAAAAAACAATAGCAAGCCAAGCAACAGCATCTTGAGAAGAGGTTCACTAAGCTCTAAAGCTAGGCAGCTGCGTTTTTGTTCAGATGGATGTTTACAAGATGATCGAGTCCTTTCTTTAGAGTTGACAAAAATTTAAGCTGTATTTTCTGCTCCTTATTGTTAATTCTAGATTTCTATATTTATATTGTATTTTCTGCATCTTGTTTCTCCTATTAACTAAAATTTCAATCTTTGATCCAAAAAGTAGAATACTAGATAGGATCTGAATTGATGGCTCTATGTGAAAAATATGTAATACAAAGAGGACCACAGAATTCAATTGACAGACATTAATTTGTGCTCTCTTCTTAAATATCACAAGAGATGCCTGATATGGCAATTATGAAGTGCTGGTGCATTAAACTGACTAGTGATTACGAAAGGCACCTAATTGCTCAAGTCATAGCACTCTAACAGCGAAAGGAAAAGGCACTTCATGACTAATTAGTCTTTATTTAAATTAATGACCCTGTTCACTTACTATATTCCAAAATGAGAAAGTAAAATCAGGAAACCAAAAAAAAAAAAGAAAAAAAAATCCTCTTAAATCCCAAAATTACCAAGCACATTCAGGTATGCGAACAAAACAAACTGAAAAGAAGGGACAAAAAAAAAAAAAAAAAAGGTACACTATCATAGAAAAGACTAATTAAAAAAAGTAATACTAAATTAAAATTTCACAATAAAATCTTGTCACTTTACTGACCTCAGTGTCTAAATCTGACGAGGAATCTGTTAACGAGGTTGGAGAACCAGTGAGTAAAGTGTTAAATGATATTGATCCAGAAAAATCACCATTTCTAGCTGTCCCAACTCTCACATTCAGGGGATGCAAGCCCAGAGGCCAACCTTCTTCCTGCAATCAAATCAGTCACTGATAGTATTCGAAACCCTTCAACCTCATCGTGATGTACACAAAAAAATAAAGAAGAGAACTGTACTTTCATGAGAAACAAGAACAATGTGACAAAGAAAAGGTACCGTATACCCTTTAATCAAGTAAATGATAGGAAAAGAACACACACCGGCATTCGGAAACTCAGAGAAAAATAAAAATCTAAGAGAGAATCCATGAAGGATCATCCAAGAAGTGAAAAAGAAGACAAGGATATACCTGCTGAGCCATGTCTGCCAAGAGTACTTGTGACAATTGTATGGTTGTGGTGATTGAAACAAGGAAAAAGAAAGTCACAGTGAGTAGGTCATTTGCAGTGTGTTTTCTACTCTACAAGACAAGACACCTAACTAGGTGTGATAGAAGTTGAGAAGGTAAATCCCAAAACAGATGTCCTTCCTTTGTATAGGAGTGCAAGAACCATTGGTTACTGTGGGAGAGTAAAAACAAGCAGAAGAGGGTCAAAAGGAAAAAATGACTTATCATTTGTATGCAATCTTTTCTTTGCTTTACTAATATTTTTGTTGACTAGAAAGGAGGAACAAAATCATATTGTTCCAAAAAAATTTTAAAGTGAACCCAACAATTGGCTGACGTCCATGGCACCGACAGGATCAGAAACTGTGCTGATGAAAATGATAGAACCCTACACTTGAAGCAGTCAAATCCTTTAACTACCCAGCATTTTTTTTTCTTGGATTCGAATGTCTAAATTTTGATTTTGAGTAAAATATTTTTTATTTTTCTAAGTTTTAAGTGAAAAGATTAATTATAAAACCTTTGGTTTAAAATACCCCAAAGTGAATCCCCGCGTTAGTTTTTTTTTAATAATTTAATTGTTATTTTTCTTAAAACATTTTTTCCTCTGGTTAAAAAAAAAAACATTAAAGAAAAATTGATAATAAACTTTGAACAAAGAACTAATTTATGATTTTCCAAACCAAAAAACAAAAACTTATAAAATCATAAAAAATATTAAAACTAAATCTCATTTATAGCTTTCATCATCGCTCTATATATATATATATATATATATATATATATAGAGAGATATAGAGAGAGAGAGAGAGAGAGAGAGAGAGAGAGAGAGAGAGAGAGAGGAGTGAACGCTATTCAAAAATATTCAAATTATCCTAACCAATTTGCATTAAAAGAATTTTAATTTTAATTTTAACTTTTTTTTTTTTGAGAACTGAATTATCCAAAATACACTTGTAATTTTACATTATCCTAATTTTTTCTAGTCAAAATTTTCTATGAGCCTAAGTTTATCTAGTTAATTTTATGTTTTTTTTACTATTTCCCATTCTTCTATCAAAATGAGAGGGGAACATATGTACTGAAAAGACATTATGGCCATATGAGGAAAAGGACTTGGAAATTATAGTCATAAAAAAAGATTCCACGATGATATCTGTGATCCAAGGAGGATCCAATGAAGTGCACTGCCTGAAAAAGGGACACATTGTAGGATCTGGTGGATGGCAACACAGATAACGTACGTACGTGGTAACAACCAGAGTTAGTTTTGGTTATTCCATAAGAAATAATGGCATCTTTATTTACATTTATGGAGTGTGGAATACGCAATTTTAGATATAAATGTTATAATTTTAATTGATTATTTATTAAGCACAATTACCATTTGATATTCAGAATCCTAATGAAATCGTTTCAAAATATATTGCATCTATATTACAAAAAAAAATAGATTCATTTCGAAAAGAGTGAAAATTATTACATAAAAGGCATCAATTCCTTTAGAATTTTGCTGCGACACAACACACACACACACACACAAAAAAAAGCCTACATGTAACATAACACCCATTTTGTAAAGTCCTTCCTCTCCTTGAATGTGTACCTTTTTTCCCCCTTAGGTCTACATCACGATTGTCGTCAGCTAAAAGATGGCATGGTCCAGAGAAACCTAAAGATATTTTTTTCCCCCCTTCTTGTTTTGTTAGCACCTATGCTTTCACCATCATACCATTTCTAATTCTTTAATCTCAAAACATTCATCAAGTAATTAAGAAGATTTTTTTTTATTAATTTTTTAAATTTAAATCTTAAAATCAGAATTCAATCTGAATGTTTGAGAAATTTCAATTAATACATAAATTAGTTTGAAAACATTCTTACATCAAATAAAAAAAACATATTTAAATCCTTTTATTAATTTCAACATGATGAACACTTTTTGTTGATAATATCTTTTTCAAGAATGTTATTGATAAATTTATTAAACAATGCTATCTATATATATATATATATATTGAAAAACTAGAGAAATTTCTTTTTCTTCCAAATTAAATTCATCCATGGGAAAGATTTTTGTGGTAGCTAGTGCAAATTAAAATCAAATAACAAACAATCATGCATGTAAGTATAGAGGAATTAAAAGCTAAAGATATCGAAACTGTTATGTATGGCCCATAGCCCACAGGCATGACCCAGAATTCAGGACAACCGACCAGGCTACCGCAACCTTAACACGACTAGATCTTAACTCGTCCACAAAAGAAGAAGAGAAGCTTACTATGAGTAATGACCCTTCGCGATTTGGGAATGCCCCAAGACCGCGAGTGGCTTCTTGAAGAATGAAAGTCTCAAAGTCGGTCCAACAATTAGCCCATGAAGGTTTTGGAATGGTTTAGCCCAACTCTGATGGACCACTGTGGGAATGGATTGAAAGAGCCAGAAATTCTTATGTGGCCCATAATCATCACTATACGTAACAATAATAAATAAAAATTTTAATACTACATCATTGGATTAAAAAAACTCGAGAAGGTTCAATTTAGTATTTAAACCTGTTATTTTTGCATGTAATTGAAGTGGGTATAATATGAATCCCGAATTTTTTGAAAGAAAAACTTCTATTTCTTGAACCGCGAAATAGCCAAATTTCCTTTTATTTATCAGATAAATCAATTTTTTTTTTTTTTACATTTTTTTTATATGTTTTGGAAGGTTAAAAAATGGTTATCATGGTGAAATCATGTTATTTTGAAATCTTCATTCTCTTCAAGCCCTTAGAACTCAAATTTTCTTTTTATTAATCATTAATTCCTGACTCTCCTCTCCTTCCTACTTTACTTTTTTTTGTTTTTATTATTATTATTATTTTGATAAGCTGTTTATGTTATATACTTGGTTCCTTTCCATTTGGTAATTTGAAAATTTTCTATAAGCTCTAATTTGTCTTGGTTTATACTAGTCGATTTCCTACACTACGTCGCGGGCTAAACTAAATATATTTATTTTATTTTGATAACATATATTATGTTGTCGATCAATTAAAACATATTAAATTAAAAATAAAAGATAAAATGTAATCTAATTTTATAGCTTTTAATCAAAATTTTATATCTTTTTTTTGTTTATATTTTTAATAAATTTAAATCTTAATATTTTTTCATAATATTACACATCGAATATATGAAAAAATAATTAATATAAAAACTTGTATAAAAATTAAAAAATTTAATTTTTTTTTTATCCTTGTTTAATGCTGATGAGAATAATACATATATATATTATTTTTTTTGGAAAATATATACATTTGATTTCTATATATTCATTTACAAAATAATGAATAATATTAGTATAAAAAATTTATGTTTGAATTATTAAATAGTTCTTTTAAAAAATTATTTCAATTATTTTATTTGAAAAAAATTAATTTTCAAATATTAAAAAAATAATAACAAATGGTTGATGTTATATCTGTATATGCATAGTTAATTGTCAATAAAATCAATTGCCTTATTAGATACGATCATTGATTTTATGTGTATATTTTGCTACCGTCTCTACTTCTTTTAGTCTTGGCCTTGTATATTTTGCCCTCACTTGGCACGAGCCTCTGCGCCTTCTCTTTTGATAGTTGCTCGTTGCATACATAGGAACAAAAGAATTGAAAGAAATTTGGTCTTCCTATGTCTCGCATAAGATTCTCCTAAAACAGATACGTAATCGAAGTTTATGTTCATTGAATTAGGAATTGCGAATGCATCCCTTCAAGAATGGATAACTCGGTTACCATTCTAATGAGAAAAAAAAATTATTCTTGATATTGGAACAACTCGTTTAATGAGAAAAAAATTATTCTTGATATTGCGAATGCATCCCTTGTATATTTTGCCCTCACTTGGCACGAGCCTCTGCGCCTTCTCTTTTGATAGTTGCTCGTTGCGTACATAGGAACAAAAGAATTGAAAGAAATTTGGTCTTCCTATGTCTCCGCATAAGATTCTCCTAAAACGGTACGTAACCGAAGTTTATGTTCATTGAATTAGGAATTGCGAATGCATCCCTTCAAGAATGGATAACCTGGTTACCATTCTAATGAGAAAAAAAATTATTCTTGATATTGGAACGGCTCACTTATTCGAGAACACCTAATAAATTTTTTTTTTTTTTTTGAAAAAATAAGAAAATTCTCAAATTAGTCGATAATACCTTTGCTCAAAGGTAAAACTTTGATCGTATTAAGCCAAAGTTATGCTACATATAATATTAGCTAATGTTATTTGCCGGATATTATTTTTCCGCTTCTATCATTGTGTTTTGTAATATCTACACTTGTAAACACTATAAGGAATAGTTAAAGTCCTAATAAAAATACAATCAAAGAATTCAATTCCTACTTTTCTTTTGATTCAATTTTGGTATCGAGCCTCCTACGGCACCATTGCCCTTTTTTCTTCCTCTAAAAAATACACGCATCTTATTCTAGCTTTGCATGTTTCTTTTTCCTTTCAAAACGGACACGCACACTTCTTCTAGCCTTACCCATCTCCGATGGCTTATTCTAAGCAACACTTCTTCCCCCACCATTGCTACACCATCTCAAACTCGTAAGTCACTCACCCCAAATAAGTCGGATTACCAACTCTCATCACTTCATCTCTCTTAAACTCATACAAACAAACTTCCTTCTATGGCATGTCCAGATGAAATCGTTCCTCTTAGGCTAAAGCCTTTTCAGCTACCTTGATAGGAGCAACCCATGCCCCCTCACCACTTTTCCATTGCGGATTCCGTGATATCATAGATCAATCCCAATTGCCAAGCTCGGGTCTAACAAGACCCAGCTACTCATGAGCACCCTCATCTCCTCCCTCTCCACCGACGTGCTCTCTATGATCATTAATTGCATCATTTCTCGAGAAGTTTGGTGTGTGCTTAAGAGTGCACTAGCCTCTCCATTTAACACCCGAATCATG